TTGATGATCTATTCTTAGACGATCGTCGACTGACTTTTTTTTTTTTTTTTTAATGAACGATTTCGTACTCCTATTAAAATGTTTTAGCTTGCAAGTACAGATTTCGAACGTCCGTGTATGTAAAAATAAGCATTTACGTGTAGGTTAATATTTGAAACATAGAGACGTGTTATGTAGTTGCAATATATTTTGCGCAATGATTCAATCCTTGATCAGTAAACTGTGTGTTGTTTGAAATTAAAATTAAAAGACCATCCGTTTCGACTGAAATTTAAAAATATAATTGCATAAATTATTGAAATTATTGAATTATACAAACTATCATTGAATCGTATAAATTCTGTTAAATCATCTACTACATTATACAATCATAATGTCAATTACAACTGTAAATTGTAAATTACATTGTATCATAGTCGATTGTTCCTTGAATAGTGGCATTATTGCTTAAATTCATGTCGTCGCCGAAACTTAAATATTCGTAATTTCATACCATAAAATTTGTTCAAACAGCAATATATGAAAAATCAAGCACATGCGAAGGAAAATAAAATAAATTACAAATTTAATCTATCAATGTTCCTGACAAGAACAAATAATACCTAAGGGATATTTATTCATAAAGATACAGCTGATCTGTGTTTGACGAGTACATTCGTCATCGACCCAACTGCCTGCTCACTTTTAAAACAGAGCTACACAGCCAACAGGTTAATAGCCGTTGAATTAATCGCGATACACGCGTCTCGCACGGATTAGCGAGTCTCCTCTGTAATTGCTAAAACGTGATACAACGCCGAATCGATCGACCTTAATCGGCAAGGATGAACAAGGGTGTACGAGCAACCTTCTACTTATCACGTAAACACGACCGCTCGCGATCGATAACAGTGATTATACCTTCGATGACATGAATTGCGAGCAGCTCTTTCGGAAAAAGAAAGAGAGAGAGATAGGGAAAGGGCCAAATTTGGTCGCTCACATAACAAATTATATGTACTAAAAATGCGCCTGGGTCTCGTTTCACGCGATTAACTTCTTCATTCATCGTTACACGTTTATCTCCATTCCATTTTACATGCGTTTTATATACGTTGTATTTTCGTTTAGAAAATAGAACGCTTCGTTCACTTTTAAAGCGAGAATACGAAAGCTGAAAAAAACGCTCGCAAGTAAAGTGGCGCGGATGGTTTTCGATTGCTTCACGCGACGCGGAAGATGCATTATTATTCCCATAAATATTTAACACACGTGTGTGAATTATTATTTAATTCACGCTGCAGCTATTTCTCGAATTCACTACCGAGGGTATTGAATTTGAAAAATTATCAGAACCGCTGATGATTTAAGAGAATTATAAGCGAGCGTTTAATTCTCTTATAACTGAAGCAGAATGTCAACATAACGTCACACGAACGAAGCAGGATTATCATCCAAGGAGCAGTCGAACTGACCAAACGTTCAATTGTTGTTTCAGAGAAGAACTCGGCGCGCAACAGTCGACGAAGACGCGTGAGCGAGGGGGCGAGTCGCGACAAAGACGGCGAGAGCAACTTGTCCACGCGGCAGGAGGACCGCGAGAACAAGGGCCCAACGTCCGGAAGGCCGAGCAACCGCATCCCCCGAACGGTGTTGGAGGAAGCGAACAGCGCGTCGAGCAGCGCTGCGAAGTTGCGGAAACGCGGCACCGCGGTAAAGAGTCCGGTGGAGAGCGCGTCGCAGCGACCGGTGCGAAGAAGACCGAGGCTCGGTTGCCAGGGGGCGAGAACCGAGGCGGAGGAGGAACTCGTCGTCGACGTAAAGTCCGCCGAGAAGGAGGAACGGCTGAACGGAGGAAGGCCCGAGGAGGAGGAAGATCGCGCGAACGGTGACGAGAACGAGGATCGGGAGAGTTGCGATCCGCTGACCAAGAGGCTCAGGACAAGTCCCGTCGGCAGGAAGCTCAGGTCCGAGCGAAAGGGTGGTAAACTCAGCGAGCAAGCGGATATCGAGGGGACAGAGGAGCAAGGAGACAGGAAGGAGAAAAGCGCGGAGAGTGAAGGCGCGGGAAGCGAGAAGCTCGAGGAGAACGAGGCGAGTCAGTCGAGGGAGCGTGACAGAGAACCGGAGCCTCCACCTCCGGACAAAGTAGACCCTGGAGGCGACACGGTTCTTCTTCAACAGTCGACGAACGGATCGGATCGAACGGAGGAAAGATTCGGAGGCACGAAGGCGGACGCGAGAGAGAGGAGGTGTAAAGAGCAACAGCCGCAGGTGTTGGTGAATGGATCGGTGCTTGACTCGTCGCCGTTGTCTGTGGTGGACAAAGCGGCGAGCGTGCTGGTCGACGCCGAGGCTGGCCTGCTGAAGTCCGACTCGTCGTCGAGGGATAACAGCAAGAACAGCATTCCCGAGGAGGAAGGGAACAACGGGGTAGAGGACGAGGAACACGGGAACCAGGAACACCGGGAGGACGAGAAGGAGGAGAACGGCGGGGGCCGAAGAGAGGAGGATCGTGCACGGACAGAGGAAGAGGAACAGCGGGAACAGCAGGAACAACGGGAACAGCGGGAAAACCGGGAACAGCAGGAAGAGGAGGAAGAGGAGCGAGGCTCGCGAAGAACCGAGCTGACTACCGAGTTAGGCACGGAGGATAGCGTGGGTAGCGTGAGCGGCGCGAGGGCGGCCAGCGTCGAATCGGTGGTCGAGCTGCTGGAGTCGAGCAGTCAGGACTCAGGCTCCGTGCTGGAGAGGCTGAGTCCGCTTAGTGGCAGCGGCGGCGGCGGCTCTGGCAGGCAGAGCCTGCTCCTGGAGCAGCAGCGGGAGCAGGAGCGCAACCGGCACAACGAGAGTCCTGTCATTCTAGCCGAGAGACTGAACAAGCCGCCACCGCCGGTAGCTGGTCACCATCATCACCACCTGCAGCAGTATCATCAGCATCACCATCACACGCCGTCGCACCATCATCAGCAGCAACGTTACTCGTCCGGTAGTCCGGTGATACATCATCACG